GAAAATGATTGCTATTATTTTACTTTGTTGAGATTTATTGTTTCATTCCACTGTTTATTCAGCTGTTTAGACTACTTTATGTCGAGCAGCACTTTGCTTTATTATTGCTGCTTTCAATAAAAAAAATCTGCTTTAGAAAAAAAATATTTTATTTAACTTGAAATGTGCAAGGAGAAAACATTTGATCTGTAAGACAAAAAATAATTCTAATCTGAAGTCTGCCTGGAAGAACATAGACAAAGATGAGGACAAACAAGACTAAAATTTAATTATTTTACGCGTCAGAACAGAGGACTTGTTTGACATAAACCAAATGCAACATTGAAGAAAAGAAACTCATTCCAACTGTGGATCTTGGAGACCGAAGCTTCACAAGCTTCACTTGTGCTTTGGGCCCGTTTTCTGCAGCAACACCTGACCAGCTAGACTGCACAGACTGAGTGTTGCTGAGAAAAATATGAGAACATCTGCAGACATAAATAAACAAGACACGGCTAAAGCATTGGACCCTGCAACATGGCTATGGCTCAAAAAGTGTCAGTAAATCCATCAATGACTGGCTGAGAATTAAGAACAGGAAACTAATGGTTGTTTCCCAGCCCAATAAATATGATTAACTTAAAGCTTAGAGGTTGGGTTTTCAATGTGAGATTATATAACTGCAAAAAAGACTCATTTATTTCAAGAATTTTCACAAACTTGTACCACAGCTGCAAAACAAGGCTGATTTCAATAAAACGGGGCTGATTAAATGTGGAGAGTGCTGATGGAATGGAAGTCATCAAATTTTAGGAATGAGGAAAAAGCAAAACAGTAAAAAACACTCTTATCATGTACAAAACAACACAATAAATAGAAAATTATGTTTACATAATGATTGAAATTTGACATGCAGGTCGTGGAGGATTTTGTAATGTTTTTATTTCTCTCAAAAGTTATTTACCTAAAGAAAAACTCATGCACTGAAGAAAAACCAATTACTGCTCAAATATATTCTCTTTGACAATTCAGAAGGACAAAGAGAACAAAAATCCCTTCAAAGTTTTCATTGAGGTCACACAGTTAGATGAGGTGCATGTGTTTTACATTTTATAACCTATAAATTAGATTTTCTTTTTTTTTCTTTTGACAGAAGAAGCGATAGCTTCACTGGGAATCAGTAAATTCATGATCAGGGCTGTCAGGGGATCAGACGCCGGCGTTGCCTCTTGAGATGAGAGTGGCGGCTCCTTGGTTTTTACCAAGCAGCCGCCACCAGGGGCAGAGGTGAACAAGCAAAAGCCACAGCAAACATAAATAACACCAACGGACGCCGACAATGCGTCTGCTCCCTCATCCCGAGCTGTGGGGACAGCAGCAGCAGCAGCAGCAGCAAAGTCTATCATCTTGTTATTAAAGGGTCCTGTAGATTAGAATCACTGGGGCGGCATCAGAGGCAGGTGTCTCCACAGCATGCATGATAACACGCTTCCAGCCCCCCAGTAAACTCTCCGGTACCTGCTGAGGCAATCCGGGTGGAGGCCAGCTTGGAGCCCCCTGCGCTTTGGTCTGGGATGCGCGGGGTCCAGATTTTGAGGGCCCCTGAACAGTAGGGTGCCTCTTCTTCCTCCATCAGCTGCCTGAACACAGACAAGACTGGATGAGAACTGGTGCCTGCAACCCCTCTTTCTTTTCCCCTCAGAGCCTCCCCATACGTTGCTGTCTGGGCTGCAGCCAGCCAACACAGGCGCTGCTTTCACCTCAACCAGATAAAGCACATCAGCGATCACTGAGCGCAATCGTCTGCTTTTATGGAGCTGCCTGGCCTGGGTGCGTCTGGGAGCAGACTCCCAGCGTTTTGCTGCTGCATGCGTGCACAATGATTCCCCATCGGTGCTCCCTGACAACCCCACTGACAGCAGATACAGAGGAATTAGTGTCATAATATTTAGTTTTCATGCGTCTTACAGCATGAAGGCATCAGACAATATTTCTTCATCAACAATTCTGTGTTCTTGTTTTGATCTTGCTCTGCTTGATTTTGCAAGACTGCAAGTGTCACCTGCTTGGATGTTTTTGCTCAATGTCTTGTAGCTAGAACTGAATTAATTTATGTTTTTTTTCTGCTGTTGTGTGTGTGATTGCAGAATCAAATTTCTGGCAGATACCAGAAGCTGCATTTTCCCCACTGATCAGATAAGGTAACTGAGTCACAGCTGCTGAGCTCATCACTGATATATACCTCCAGCTAACAGGGTTAGCAGCCATGGACCCTGCTATTAATTTTAACATATATTTCAGATGCCGATAATGTGTTTTTTAAAATGGTTACTTAATCATTTTCCTGCTTTTTATAAAATTGTGCCATACCAGTTTATTATTTGATACATAAAATTTTAATTGCTCTGGCTTCAATTAATGAGACATCAATTTTTTTTTCTTTCAATAACCAATAGAAAACATAATTTTATTAGTTGTAAACCTTCAGTTAAAAAATCCCTCTTTTGTATATTTTTAAAGGTTCACCTAAACTAAAATAAGACATGGAAATGGAGCATCCAATTCAGAATCTGTTATTTGTGTCCAGTCTGGCTGCTGCTGATAGAGGAAAAAAATAGGAAAAATAAAATAAATAAATAAATGAAAAAAACAGCTCAGTCTTCTGCTGCCAGTGAGGAATTCAGGTGCGTCCCAGAGGACATCACACCTGTCAAGAAAGTAGGATGCAATAACACCCTCCATCCCAAAAAAATAGATCTAAGGAAACATTAGCCAATATAATGAAAAATAGATCTAAGGAGCTGACAAGGCAGATAAAATGATAATGCTAAAAACAGCTCAGAGTAATTCTGCTTCTAATATAGGCCTTGAGTATTTAGTCGGTGTAAGAAAGAGGAAAGAGGGGGAAAACAGGATGGATTTGGGGTGGAAAAATAATTAAAATTCAGATGTAATATTTAGTTCATTTGGTGCGTGTATAACAGACTAGATGGGAATAAACTGCAAAAGACCTGACGAAGGTATTGAGTGCCAAAGGTGTCACAATCTCATCACATAAAGCATTAACAAATAATTATTAAGATGTAATGAAATATGTAATAACTAAAACAAAAAAACAAATAATAAAATACTTAGAACTGAAAGCTATTAATCAAACATTTTGAGTTGTATGTTAAAGCCACATATAATTATTTCCTTTTTCAGTTCTTGACAGAGTGGACTACATAATAATTTTAGTTCATTTGAAGATCAGTTGTGATATTTGGAGCACTGATAGCCCTGACAGCTAAATCTGATAGGTTAGACTCTACCAGGGCCGGAATGAGGAGAATTTGGGGGTCTGGGCTAGAGTAAGTTTTGGTGCCTTTCCCATCCAAAAACAAAGAAAAAGCAAAACAAAACAAAAAAGACATATTGATTGTTAAATACATATCAACAGCCATTGTTTACTCAAAAACAGTTTTTATTCCCTGATACAATCTTTGTATTTCTCTTTTCTAGCAAGTTCCTTACAAACATGGCATCATTTCTAGAAATTACTTCACCTAAAAAGATATTACAAAATACAGTAGCTATGTCTTACCGGTTTGTTGTGGTGTGACAGTCACTGAAATATAATAGAAACTAAGAGAGAATTATAAGAATATATTTTAAGCTTGATCTTTTTTTGGCATGGAAATGTAATAAAAAAAGGGACCTGAGGTTACTGTAGGTACTAAACATAAAAAACACAAAATATCAGATAGAGGATGATAAAATAACAAAAATAACTTACATGATGCAGATGGGGTTCTAGTTATGTTTTAACTAGAAATTAAATCACAACTAAATAACTAAACAAAACATAAATTAAAGATTTATTGAACATCTATTAATAAAACACAAACAAACAAACAAACAAAAACATTCTGCCCCTGTGAGCATTATTACACACTGTGAATGAATTAAAAATAGTAATGAATTTAAAATGAATATATTTACCATGTTAAGTATATGTCTTTGTTATTTGCACAATTTTCATTAATAAAAATAATTAATTATATTCATATAATCAGTGAATTATTTATTTTGATTGAACTGGTCCACTTTTGGAACTCCATATTTTATTTGATAACCATCACATCAATAAACATGCAATAGCCACACATTATTCTCAAAATAAAATACATGTTTTATTATAAAAAAATGTACTGCATTATGTACTTTAATAAATTACCTACTTTGCTAAACAATTAATGGCATATTAGGGTAGTCATTGAATTGTTTATTTCTTTAAATTTTTGGTACTTTTGGATGTCTATATTGTTATTGTCCAGTTTCTTCTGGATTTTAATCACATACCAATTATAGTGTCATAAGGAGAAAATCTTTTCTTACAGTGTAAACAAAGATGGATCCACAACTTTCATATCAGGTTTTATGTACAACTATAAACATTTACACGTAGATCTTGGCAGGTCGAACTAAAATAAAAATAAAAATCTCTTGAATTGTTACCCTAAACCCAACAGGAAGTCATCCATTTGTGATCAGAGCAACAAATTAAAAAATGTTTTGCTCATTTCAACAAACTCTTCCTGTGAATCCTGTGTAGCTTCTTTCATAACATTCCTTCAAAGTCATTAACAGCTTTGAAGGGTTTACTGTTGTTGCTTTAGGTCCTGGGGAGGGAAGGTCCCTCATGGCATACCGCCCTGCGTGGAGAGCCATCTTCAAAAACTGACACTTCAGGAATAATTTTTTCATTTATTCTTTCTCTTTACATAAATATGGCACTTTTGGAACTCCATATAGGTAGCTTCTTTTCATTGCTTCCTTTTTTCGCGCAGAGAGACCGCCCATACGTGCGTTTAATCCACATTTGCAAGCAACTCCTATATCTCCCTGCTATTTTACCATCACTGTCCTTACTCCCAAACTGGCATTTTCACTCCTCACACGCTTTTTCGCTGCAGCCGGCTTCCTCCAACCAGCTCTTCCTCTCTCTCTCTCTCTCTCTCCCTCCTTTTTTTCCTCCTATTTATGAAAACGTCACTTCAAGTCCCTCCCTGTTTGAATCTCATTAGTTTCTTGTGTGTTTCTCCCTGTCAATAATCCCGAATCCAGACTCTCTCTATTTCCATCCCTCTCTATCTGTCAATCAGCGCCGCCTTTGAACTGAAAACCACTCCGACCAACTTCAACTCACTCAATCCGAGCGGCTCGGCTCCTTCTCCGGCTTCCCCATTTTTCTGCCAACAATTTTTCCCCCTTCTTTTTCCCCCCCTTGTGTTTTTGAGTTTTTATATAGCAGAGCTTTTGGGAAACGCCGACACGAAGAACCCTCTCTTTTTAAAAAAAGAACCCCCCCCTCCCCAAAAAAAAAATATAACCAACAACTTTAAACTCTCGGACTTTCGAGCTCGCAGAGATCAAGGGTTTTGAAACTTTTCGGTGTTTGTTTTTTTTTTTTTTTCCGACCCGAGAACGATTCTTCTGCTCGGGGGAAAAATGCCGCAGCTCAACGGCGGTGGAGGGGACGATCTGGGCGCAAACGATGAGATGATTTCGTTCAAAGACGAAGGGGAGCAGGAGGAGAAAATCTCGGAGAACTCCTCGGCAGAAAGGGATTTAGCAGACGTCAAATCTTCGCTCGTAAACGAGTCGGAAACGAATCAGAACAGCTCTTCGGACTCGGAGGTAAGTTCGGATCGATCGGCTCCGTTGTAAGTTCGCGTTACACGTCTGAGGGGGTGGCCTACATTTCTTAGCACACTTTGACAAGAGTTCACCCTGTAACTTTAACGCAATCCTTGTGTTTCGTTGCATTTCAAGGCGGAAAGACGGCCTCCGCCTAGATCTGAAACTTTCAGAGACAAAACAAGGGAAAGTTTAGAAGAGGGTGAGTTTGTTTGCTTTAATCTCCTATCTGTGTTTTGCTTCTTGTTCCTCCACCGTGACATTTTGTGTTTTTGACAGAGGAAGGAGTCTCCTGCAGCCTTCTTCCTCAAATACAATTTCCAACGATTAAAAAACAAGACACACATTCCAAGGCCGGTTTATTAAAAGTTTTCCTCTTCTCCCCCCTCCTCACCCCCCGCCATGTTAGCTGCGAAAAGGCAAGATGGAGGGCTGTTCAAGAGCCCACCGTACCCGGGCTATCCGTTTATAATGATCCCCGATCTCACCAGCCCCTACCTCCCCAACGGATCACTTTCTCCAACAGCACGCACAGTAAGTTCACTTATTTTACCAGCTGGATATCTGCACACACACTCCTCACACACTGTCTCTCTCTCTCTCTCTTACACACACACACACACACACACACGAGGCTCCTAAGCAGTGTTGTCACCCAAAAAAAGCTGAAAAAAATGGGGGGGAAATTGTGGAAGCCAAGTTTTCCAACTCCTCCTGAAGTGTACATCACCGCGCTCCCGAACGTTGAAGCTAACATGCTAACTGTGCTAAAGAATTCAAAAAGATAAATCGAAATCTTAAGTTAGGGGAAATTGAGTGATTTTTTTTGTTTTGTTCACTTAAATATATTGTATTTTTCTGTTTATTTTTGATCACAATATTTGGTCGTGTTGTATTAAAATTAGGTTAAAAGTGTGTGATCCCCCTCACACCCCCTTCCTCCTAAATAATGCAACTGATTTGTGTTTGCATGGCCTCATCAAAAATGCCCTTTTTTTATTTCCCCACTAACACTACAGGGAGCTGCACTTTTACACCAGCTCTAACACACTGAACAGTTTTTAAAAAGCAACAAATATGCAAATAAGCTTTTGAAAGGGATTTGCATGGATATTTTTTTTTTAAGTTGCATGCTGGCCTTTTGCAAAAATAACCCCCCAAAAAACCCAAATAATTAAAAATCAACTTGTAATGTATTGGTAATGAATGCAAACTTAGTGTTTAGGTTGTGATTTATTTAACGCAAGTGATTGCTTCGTTTTGCATGCTACCGCTTTTGCTTCCCGAAAGGAATCTGCCGCCTTTTTTCTTTTCCTTTTTTTAATTTTTTTTAAACCCAGAATCATTTAAAGCTCTGTTACCAAACAAATTCATGTTATTTATTTTGACACTATCAGCCCTGTTGTAATTATGCTCCTTCACTCATTTAGCTGAGCTGGTCCCATGGGGCCAAAGACAAACCATGAGCAGCATAATTTGTTCATTTTTTTTAAGCATTGCTGTGCTTTAGGGACCTGTCATCTCTTTCGACAAGGTTAAGGCAAAGACCAGGCTTTAGGAAATTTGACCCACAAAAACTCAACTGATATTTGTTACCTCCATGATTTTGGTTTTTGTTATGCACGCCTTGAAAATTGAACTCGCACCTTGGCACATAATGCTTTCTTTTGTGCTTGACACAATTTCTGCCCGTGGTCTCACGTGAGGCTGCCCACCATGTCTTCATATCTCTTAATGTGATGGTGCGTGCACGCGCGTGTGTGTATGTGTGTGAGTCTTCGGCACAGGAGAGCACATTTTGTCAGCCTCGATAATGCTGCCGGCTGGTATGTGGAATTAGTCACTCGTTACTCTCATCATCAGGCTCTGACACAAACTCGCATTCACAGCGTCGAGGCTGATTTTTGAAGTGAAGGACTTCCTTGTTTCAATAGAGCAGCTTTTTCTATTCTTTATGAATATCACAGCAATGTGTCCTGCAGCCTGGCGAACGCTTGCTGCCATCATGCAACAGTTAGATAAAACAGTACATTTTATAATGCATCTAAAGAGATGCTCCTCTGAGACGCGATCCACCTTTGCTCTGCTCATCCAGCCCAAGAATCTCCCATTTTCACACCGAACTGACAAAAGGAAGGGTGTGTTTGTTTTTGTTTTAAATTGTGCGCTGTGATTTATTACCTATGTCATCATAGCAAAACTAAGTCGAGGAGGTGCTTATTTGCACGCAGCGACACGACATTAAAACCGATAATCACAACGAACGCACCTGAATAGGATTTTTTATTTTGTATTTTTTACTGTACCACCTCGCTTGGGCCCCCCCTCCGTCTGCGGCGCCCTGTGTGTCCGAGCTGCTGGAGCTTTTGAAGTCGGCGGTGGCTGTAATATAAATCTATTAAATTTAAAGCTGGGATAAATAATTCACCTGGACATTGATTAGCTGTCTTTCTCCCTAACATGTCACGTTAGGCTCCGAATATGACTGCTGCCGGTGTTATTAGAATGAGACTGTCTTGTCATAAGAAGCCTTTGATTCTCGGGTTTTTCCTCCATATCTGTTCCTTTTCGGTTTTCTCGGCGATGTGTGTTCGCTGAATATAATTGAAATGATTTAAACGGATGTTTAAATTGGCAATTGAAAATACTTCCTCTCCCACATCCACCAGATTGCATTTCTCCTAATCTGTTCAGACATCTTAAATTGTTTGTGTTATTTCTGTGTTTGCGTGACCCAAGAGGTGGGAAAAAAGAATTCCTGCATGAGGCCGCCTGACCTCTGGGAGCCATAACCGACGAGAATTTGTTTTTCCTACCACCTAAATCCGAGGAGGCTCACAATTTAGTATCATTTAAGCATATTGACATGAAGCTGTGCCCGGGCTTTAAAAGCTCTCCTCCTCTCGTCTCCTCCTCTCAGTGGTCTGCCCCCTCCTCCCTAAAACCCCCCACACAAAGGCCTGCTGAATCACTGGGTGCAGGTTGAATTGGGGAAGTGGCCTGCCAAGTTCAACCCCCGGTTTTCCGTCTCCTTTCAGTTCACCTTTTGTTTCCTGCCGTTGCTAGCGCAGGGGCTTGTAGGGGAGAACATTAAAAAAAAAAAAAGAGAAAGAAGAAGAAGCTGGCGGGTTAACTCCGGTGCTGTGGGCTAACATCACACCTCAACAGGTCTGGAGACGCTGAGGCCGAGGGAGGGAAGAATTGGGGGGAGAACTGGGCGGCCAGCTCTCCTGCTTCGAGCCGTAAATCCGCCCCGCTTTCTTTCTTTCTTTTTTTTTTTTTGTAAGTGCCTCTTGGACTTATGAATGTTAAGATATTTAACGCCACTCCTGGCCCTCCGTATTTCTCTGTGCCCGCTGAGACATTTGGCGGGGGTTTTGAGTTTCGACATGTAATTACGATTAGTTTATAAAAGAATGAGTAGAGGTTGGGCAGGCAGTGGGGGGATGAAAACGCTACCTGAATGAAAAAAAAAAGACTCTTGCTGAAGGTGGTAAAAAGGCTTCCTTTGCTTTGTTTTTTTTTTTCCTATCTTTTTTCTTTTCTTTTCTTTTTTTTTTTGGTAAATCCACTCCAACTCACCCTCACTAATTTTCATCCAATAGGAAATAACATAATTCTAAGTGAATGTAACGCCTTCTTTTGTGTCAAACTGTATTGGTGTGGCCTTATCTGTAATAAAGTGACAGCAGACCATATCTTTCCAACAACACGTGAGCAACATAAGCATAACAATGGCATATCATATGGATTATGTGTGTTTGGCTGGTGTGAATGGAATTTTTGGCTGCAACGAGGAGGAAAAGATGGGTTTTAATGCGGATTTGAGAGGATAGGGCCCACACCTTATCAAATTGGCTTTACATGTTAATCGGGCCTAATTGGTGTCCGCGGGGCTTTTTTTTTTATTTTTTTTTCTTATGGCACAACGTTGCTGCTGGGGTTTTTTTTTCCTCCCCTCCGAGCTGCAAAATTTACTCGGAAGGTTGCGCTCCTTTTGTCTTGCAAATCACTTTTGTTTACAAAGTATGGCGGAAGCGGCTCCCGCTCTCCGATTCACCCCCACCTCCTCTCCCTCCCTCTCTCCTCCTGTCTCTGTCTCTTTCTCTCTCCGTTCTGTGCGAGCGTAAGAGGAAGAAAAAAAAAAGGTCTTTATTTTTTATTTATTTTCTTCGACTTAATAAACACCCATAAAAAAGTACAATCTGCTTTGGATTTAAGGAGTTAAGTTGGAGAGCTGGAAGTGGAAGGGAGCCGGGAAGCAAAGTTTGGCACCATTAAACTGAAATTGGGGTCTGCTTGACATTAGCGGTGCGCAGAAACATTCTCGGAGCTTAATTAGTCCAAACTGTAATTGTTCATGGTCTGCCAATAGAAGTAAGGCTCTGGAATAATAAAAAAAAAAAAAAAGAAGAAGAAGTGGTGTTGCTCTAAATCAGCCAGGGTTTTTATTTATTTTTTTATTTTATTTTTTTTTTTTGAAAAACAATAAATCAGTCGCATATTTGCGCCGTGATTCAGTTCGAGGCTCGACCTCTCCCATCTCGACATGTGGTAAATTGTAAAGTCAATGAATCGCAGATGTAGGGACGGCGAGGAGGGGTGGAGCTGGGGGGGGGGTAAGTACAGTGAGGTTTTGTTAGCGACTGGTGAATGAATGGAAAAAAAAAATATTTATGCTGTAAATATTTGCAGAGGACGTGTGTGTGCATGTGTGAGTGGAAAATATAAAATATAAGTGGTGCTTTAATTGTTTAATGCCGATGATGTCAGCACGTCGCTGATCTGTCTCGCTGTTCAATCCAACACGGAGACAGAAAAAAAAACCTAGCGGGGTGTGTTTCTCATCAGATTTTGAACTGGTGCGAAGGGAGTAGTGGTTCCCTGGTGGCACTGCGAGCTGCGTTTGGGTGTAGCAGCTGCACTCAAGTCTGGATTGGACCTCCTGTTTTTTTTTGTTTTTTGTTTTTTTTGTCTTTCTTTTAAATTAAATCACTGACTTCAGGGTTTTTAATGCAATAGCTGCTAATCTGAGGCCTAATTTTGACTGGTGTGTGACAGATTACGCCTGATACTCATTAACATAGAGCGCAGGCCGGTCAAACGAATTATTCTTTAAATGAACAAATTCATTTTCACCTTTTTGTGTCTCTCCTTGTTTCTGTCAGTGAGCCTGCTCTGCTTTTCTGTATCTGAGTGAGGGAGGGGGAGAGTGGAAGGCATTAGTTAGTTAAGCAGCTGTGCATTGGGGTCTCTCTCCCTCTCTCCCCCCGTTAAGAGTGAGCGTAACCCTCTTCCTCTTCTGCTTTCTCCTTTGCCTCTTCGGTGAATTTCTATAGAGCGAAACACAAAGATAACACTGTACATCTGGAATGCAACTTGTGTCATCTGTTAAATATAGGGTAGCATTGCCGTGGCCCTCGGGGGTTGGGGTTGGAGGGGGGTGGGTGCTCCATCGAACATGGAAATGAAACGATTCTGTGTGCATACGTGAGCATGTAGCGACCAGCTAAATCTGTGTACAGGTGTTGTGT